TAGCTCTCAGTCTGGGGCAAGTGATGTTCTGTCTTCTTGGTGCTTGGGGGGGGAGGCAACAGTGGGAGGGCTTCTCGTGTCCTGGCCCCACCGCTGGACCTCCTGATGGCACCTGTGTGACAGAGTGTTGGAGTGGATGGGCTATTGGCCTGATCCGACATGACTTCTCTTATGTTCTTATGAGAAGTTGATAACCTTAATGCTGGGAGATCTCCAGGCCCCCACCTGGCAGTTAGCAACCCGAGCTACGTGATATGCCTTATCCTACATTTATATGCCTGCACATGGCAGACTACCTCCAGGTAAGAACATAAGAGAAGCCAATGTTGGATCAGGCCAATGGCTCATCCAGTCCAGCACTCTGTAACTTCTAGAGAGCCACAGGATGGGCTGAAACCTGAAGAAGAGGGATTCACATTAACAAAAACTATTTTTAAAGACACCCCAAAAGGGAAAACAGGGACTGTTTTTTAACCCCCCAAAATAGGACTCTGCTGCAGAAGCGGGTGCGGGAGCAATGAAAACTGTATATGATTTTAGAGACAGAAAGCCGAAGTAAGGGCAGAAGGACTCTGATAAGTGGCCCTTTGAAACAAAGAAGATGCTCAGAACGTTCTCTCATAATAACTAATTTACTAATACAGAACAATGTGGAAAACAAGAACTCTACAAGTATATTGTTTTACTAACTCTTTTAATACTAATATTAAGTTTAACATAAAGGGAGTCTCCCACTCTTGGGTTTTTAGTTAGTGTGGGTATCTTTCCTTTATCCATAGTTGTAGTTCCCCTTCCTATTTTTTTTCTTTGTAGTTTGTAGTCATATTGAAAAAATAAAAATACCCCTCTGGGGGTTTAAAAAAAGAGAGAGAATAGGCTGAGAGCAGAGTTGCCATCTCTGGCTTGGGTGATTCCTGGAGATTTGGGGGCAGTACCTCGGGAGGGCCGAGTCTGAGGAGGTGAGGGGATGGCATGTCGCTCTAGGACTTCTGTTTCTCCTAGACTCTGTGGTATACCATAGAGTCTGTCATCTGAAGCGGCTGTTTTGTCCAGGGAGCTGATCGCTAAAGTGTGGAGATCAATTATAATTCCAGGAGAGCGCCATGCTCCCCCTGGAGGCTGGGAACCCTAACTAAGGGCAAGAGGTGCAATTAATATAGCCCCCGGATACGGTCCAGGCCTCGTCCGATTATATGGCTCCCCCACCCCCTATCTTATTACTCTTTTTGTTGGCCGCCGCCTGGCATGAAAATCAGGTCGTGGGTAGCCCGACTTGAAGACTTAAAAGGCAGCCCACGTAATGTGGCAAAGGAATTGAGCTTTTTGGGACGCCCCAGTGATATGTGGGCGATGGCGTGGATGCCTGGACTCATGGGCCATTCAGGGCCTGCCAAGCCTCCACTGCAGGGCTTTTGTGTTTCGTTTGGACACCGCGCACGGGGAGGGCTGTGAAGAAGCAGGTCAGCCCAAGGAGGCCGAAGAGAAGTGGGAGAATGAATAGCTGGCTGCCAGGAAGCCGAAAGAACCGGGCATGATTTAGGCAGGAAGGACGAGGGAGGGAGGCTTAGGCCGAGGGAGAAGGCCGTGGAGGTTGCCATGGAGATGGCAGGGCCCATCATTTGGTCCACTTGGCGACGGAGGGCAGAAGGACAAAAGCCGATTCAAACAGTGTCGCGGCCGACGTGGAGGCAGAGACTGTGCACACAAGGCGCTAAGTTTGGCCGTCTCTGCCGTTGTTTTTCATTTTAACTTTTTTTGGAGGGAAAAAAACCACTGTGCACATGCATGAAGCATTGCCAGCCTCCCTAGTGGTTAAACAATAATTATATACACCACAAAAATCTATTTTTATAAATTAACGTGTTCTATTTTTTCCATCTTATGAAGTGCATCGTGTGCTGTTTATAATAACCTAGAACAGGTATACATTCCTTACATGCAATATCGACAATAACAATCAATTCATTCAGTATCATAACTATCAGTCATTTACATCCTTTTTCCCACCAAAGTCAAACCCCAACGGGAGTTTCTAGAATTATACGCCTGATGACCAGAGAACAAG